ATAATATGACAATAACAAATGTAAATATGGAGATGGGGTTCTTATATGCTATCAAATAAAGTAGTTTTTCTTCTATTGAGATGTAATAAATAATTTGAATAGCTCTAAACCACTATTTATCTGTATACAAAAGCCTACCTCAAATTGTCAAAGGTCCTTAAGTAGGATAAACAAGCAAAATGACATTTCAACATTTCATTTAAATAAAAAATAAATTTAGCCAAGCCTCTCAATGTATGAGGCCAGGCTGAAAGAAATAACAAGTTTTCAAAGGGAGATATGTATTTTTATATACTGGGTGAAACAGCAAAATTGTCCATCCCACAAAATGTTTAATATCTAAAAAAAAACAAAAAAACACTAAACTGAGTTTGTTTTTATTTTTTGTTTTTTTCTCCAGGTTTTCAGATAAGGCATTTAGCCATCTTGACAAAATCTTTTGTAAGAATTACTGAAAAACCCTTTCACTTATTCAGCTAGAAAGAGAACAGGTTAAAAATCAGTTTGTGTCAGCCCCACTGTCTTTCCAAATGAGCAATGGTGAAACGAAAAAGATTATTTAGGCTTTCAGTAATGGTACCAACATTTGTACTCTGGATTCCATCTTCAAAGTCCATTCAAGAACCATCAAGAGAATGATGAATAAGGATAAAAAAGATGGAACAGTAGAAAGGAAAACTGGATCAGGAGGTCACAACAGGAATAGGGATCATCATTTCAACTTAGAGCTAAAGAGATCAATTAGAAAAGATCCAACTCAATCCATAAGACATTTGGCACGTGAGAGAGGATTTTCAGCTATGACAGTCCAAAGAGCAGTGAAAAAGGATTTGAAAATGAAATCATGTGAAATGTGTGAGACACTTTGTCACTTCAAGACAAACAGGTTAGAGAGGGCAAAGATCATCTCGAATAAGTTGTAAAATGATCCTGGAATTTTATATATATATATATATATATATATATATATATATATATATATATATATATTTTCAATCCTTCATGAGCTCCCAATCCTTAGCTATGATTAATTAATGATGAACATGTCATTTTTGTTTATGGTTGATTTCATCACAATCATTCTGTTTAGCTTGTAGAGTAATTATACATTCTTATTGCTCAAAGTAGTTTCCAATACTGTTATAAAAAAACTTGGAGAATTCCAGTAAGATCTCTTTAATCAGTTCTAAGATACAACAGTTCAAAACCTAATCTAACAAATTGACAATTTTGCTGTCACACCATTTCATTGACAAAATCTTCTAAGTTGAATCACTTTTTCTTCACTTTAATGGATGTGCAGGTGGCATAATGGTTAGTGACAATATTAAAAATGGAATCATTGAGCCAAGTTCAAATTCAAGCCAAGGTTGTTTTCACTCCAGACAAATACTTTTAGGAAAGGCTTGAATCCACTTAATAATTATAAACTTGATTTAATTAACTTTTAAAAGTAAAATATTTTTTTAAATATACTAGATATTCCATCAAACAGTTTAGATCATCATAGCAGAATGATTTTGGTTACATGATATAAGTTGATATATTTTACTACCATTTTCTTGCTTTACAATCCGTTAATATAGATATCATTAAATAACACAGTCTGCCATAGGTACTTCTATAACCACTTAACTCTCAAATGTATGAAATATTTGGGTGATGTTATTGCATGTGGCCTGTTATTAAATTTACTACATTTGTCAAGGAGTGTAAAACAAATTTGAATCCTTCAATTGCTTTGTCATAAACAGGTTTAGGCTGAAGAAATAATATCATTTTTGCTCTATTTACATTATTCAGAGTATTGCCCTCATCTTTGTTGCCATATTTATTATGTTTCAGCCATTGTATGCTCAGGCCTTCTTCCGGTGTTTGGAATGTCGAACTGAACCCTTTATTTCGCTCACTGGAGTAGACTGTTCTAGTTCCACGTGCCATGTTTAATGGATGTCAGTTATCTCCTGTTAATTCCTCTCTCCAACTTCTCCACTGTCTTAACTGCCTTATTGAACTCACACTCTTTGGGTCCTGTCACTGGATCTAACTAACGCCTTTATCCACTGTGCCATGTGTCCTCATTCCAACCACCTGAAGAAGGCCGAAACGTAATAAATATGGTGACAAAGATGAGGGCAATAGTCCGAATAATGAAAATAGTGTACATAATACCTCATCTCAGGGATATAGACAGATCATTTTTACTATATGTCAATATAGATTGATTACTTTATAAGACTTTCCCTGACATTATTTTGTCTCTCATGAAACAATCAAGATTCTCTTCGGAAGCTCTTGTCATAATTCAAGAGATGTTGGAAGAAGAGGAATCTGATGAAGATAGATAATGAAACTTTTTCAGGCTTGGATGATGATGATAACCAAGATGATGATGATGATGTTAAAGAAATTAGTGACAGTAATTCAGATGAGGGTAAAAATAATCCAGCAAGTGCTCATTGAAAATTTCATTCTATTGGATCTGGATTAAACTAATTGTACACGGAATAAAGTACTAATTAAATTAGTTGGCTTGTTCGGAATTTGTCTTATTGCTATTTAACTACCTTTTCTAAGACCATCCTTTATCTCAATAGATGCATTGAATCCATTTCACTCAACAGATACATCAAGATAATGAATTATGATTTAAAATGCAATCTAAAATCTATATTTCTCTACAAAAATTAATAACTTCAGACAAAAGAATTTTATTATTTTTAAAAAAGTATTTATCAACAACTACGTACTACTTCATCTGCAAAATTGGTAAATAATGGACCCATTTCTGATCAGGTGATTTTGGTGATGGACTTTTAACCACTGAGGAATAAAAGATGTTAAACTACTATCCTCATGTATTTACTGCTCCAGCACAACACATGCACACTGACTCAGCTTTTTGATCTTCTAAGAACAACTTTTTTTTTTTTTTTTTTTTTTACTGTTGAAAATGGCTGAAAAATTGATCACCAGAAACACTGATCAAAAAAGAAAAAAAAACATGACCATTTAAATATGTTAATGATCCTTCTCAGTTTATATAATTTGGTAAAAGACAAATATTTTATCATGAGTAGGAATCCTGTTAGATATCTGAACAAAGGGATCTTTTTAATAGACTTGTGTGTGTGTAAAATTTAATTTAACTCTCTTGTTAATATGGATGTTTTGTATAAAAACATTTAACTGCCTCTATTTCTATTTTACTAAATCCAAGATTTTTTTTTTTTTTTTTTAAATTTGTCAACTTTTCAGGGAAACTTGTGTTCCCCGACCCTCAACCCAACCAAAGGAAATACCATTTTCCAAAACCTATTGATTTCTTTATCTTATTTTCTTTTCAAAGGTATCAAGTGATGTTACATCGAAATCTTGTCTATTTGGCCACAGTTGCTGATTCAAACCTCAATGTCCAGGCCGTCCTTCCTGTGAGTGACCATTGCAATTACCATTTTTTTAAGAGTTCTTTATTTATCTGAATGGTTAAGTAACTATTGATTTAAACACAGGAAACTCAGTAATTTCAATATTGACTGGAAAAAATGTGTCCATTATTTAAAATTATTGACATTGCATTTCTAATTAACTTTAAATTACTTATTGAAATCTGTTATTAAAGAGATTGTGTTAAATGAAACATTTCATTGTAATAATGGAAACATTAGGCAGGTCAGTATAAAAAAGACTTTTAAAGCAGATAAACTCTCCTTAAAAAGACAATCAGCACAACCTGATCCCAAATCACTCAATTGGTTTTGCACAATTTTAAGCTAAGTTTAATAAATATCGATGTTTACAGATGTCCATTAAAATCTTTCTAGTCTTGTTGATATTTGCTGGAAATTCTTTAAGTAGCCTTATTTAGTTAATTTACTGTTTGAAGCCAAATCCTTGGAGCTTAAGTGTTTTTTGTTTTTTTTTGGTTGGAAGTATTTTCTTAATGTTTTTGTATATTTAGTTCAGAATCCAAGTTTTAACTCTTAGGCTGTTTCATACTGTTGAAATATTGCCAGCATTTATAAATGTTGAATGCTAGTTTGCAATGTACTTAATTATTTTCGAACTTTAATTTCGATTTCTAGGATTAAATTTCTACTTGATGATGAACATTTTCCTGTTGCTAATAATGTTCAAAGGTTTATCAAAAATGATAAAAAAGGAGTTGTGTTGATTTGTCAGTTGCAAGGGAAATACAATGACTCTTGTAAATATCTATGTACCTGAAAATCTTATGTTTACTTGTTTGAGCTGAATAGGTAGTGGGTCTCAGCAAAATGGATACACATTTTGCTGATATCAGTGATTCTTATTTGCTGAAAGTAAATTTAACATTTTAATAAAGAGTAAACTTTATAATAAAGTTTAAAATGAAAAGCCTTCCATGTTTGTTTAAATGACACTTTATTTAAAAGGTTCAAAATTTTCAGAAAAAACATCTTGCAAAATTAAAAGCTAATAAGCCAGGGAGACATTTAAGTGTGAATATTTTAATATAATTTTTTTCCTTAGAATTAAACATTTATTATGAAAAAGCTTGACTTTTTTTTTTCTTTTTTCATATATAATAATTCTAACCCTGCCATTAAGACTATGTAAACATTCTTGTACATTGTTTATTAATGTAAGTATTATTATTATTATTATTATTATTATTTAAAAAAAAAAAAAAAAAACAAAAAAAAAAAAACAAACAAAAACAAAAACTAAAAAACAGGCTCCTGTCCAGGTGAATCCAAATCAATCCATGTCAGGAGGCCAGAATCCAGGACCCCCTCAGACAAACAATGCTCCAATGAACCAGATGCCCAGAACAGCAAACATGCCTCCCAATCAAATGAACGCCCCGCCAGGAGGTGAGTTAATTTTCATCACTCCAATGAAAACTTGATAAACAATCATTTAGAAAAGAGAAGGTTGTTTGGGTAGCTGTGATAAATATTTTATTTATAGACATAAGGATGTAATTATTTACTGGGTGTTATTTTTATAATTCAAGATCATAAATTAAAACATTAATTAAGAGGGCATCCAATTTTCAACATAAATTTTCCTGAAACACTAGTTTTTGTTTTTTATTATTATTATTCAGTTTTTTCAGTCTTATTGAATTTTTTCAGGCATGCTTCATTGTAATAAAAACAAGACATCTTTCTTCCTTCTTTGGAATTCATTTTAGGGTATTGGATTCAGGCCTTGAAAAGCTGATATCACATGAAGATGGGGTTCAACAAATGTTTGTAATGCTTTTTACTGCACTTGGATACATGTATCACAACAATGTTTCAGTGCCTCATGATTTAAAAGAAAAAATTTAATGGACTGCTTTTTTTTTTTTTTTTTTTTTTTTTTTTTAGAATTACAGGTGATGGAAAATGGATTGTCTACAATAATGTGGATTGAAAAATATTCTGGGGAAAATTAAATTAGGCACCATGAACCATTCTAAAAACTTATCTACATCCAAAGACATATGATGGTTTTGTAGGTGGTGGGCTTGGAAGTACCTACTGCAAAATCACACAATGAATTCAGACAAGTACTCTTCCTAATTGAATTGATGAAAAGAATCCAAAATTCACTAATTGAAAGGATGTTGTGTTCCACCAAAACAACAGACCTCACATCTCTTTGCAGACCTGGCAGAAATCGGTACAGCCTGGTTGAGATTTCCTACAAAATTCTCTTAAATGGAAAATCTTCAATTCTCTGAAAGTCTGTAAACTCATCACCCAGAAAGATGCCAAGTTCTGGGAGGATGGAAGCATGAAGCTGCTTTAAAGACTGCGAAAGATAGTGGAACAAAATAGCACGTGATTGAATAAATCAAAGTACAAATATCTAAATACTGTCTTTGAAATTCACTTTTGTCCTGGCCCAATATATAAGATATTTATACTACCAAATCACAAAGGTATAGATAGCAACAGAACCATTTTAGATATTAATTTATTTTTCAATATTATGACTATTATTACTCCGTGTGTATGCTTGCTTTTTAGTAAGTACAAACTTTTCAATTATTACAGGAGTTCCAATGCCTCCTGGGGGTGGACAGATGCCAATGACGTCATCTGGAAGTCAGACTGGATACAATGGACCCCAACAGTCAATGTCCAGCTACCCAAGACCACAGATAAATCAACAGATAAACCAAATGCCACAAGGAAAAGGCCGTGCAGGTATTTTCTTAAAAACATCTAAGAAATTAATCCATTTTTGCTTTGATTTTCTGACTATGCTTTCAGCCACTGTTCTACTAAAATCATCTGTACATTTGTAATTGATTATTAGATAAGCAGCTAAAAGTTTTGTCCTGTCAAAGTTTACATCCATTCCTCATTTGTGATAATCAGAGAGTTATATTTGATTATTCCATGCTATTCAGCTACGTATATTGTATATGGGTTGATATATGATTTGAACTTCTTTTTTTCCTTAGCTGTATGTGACATCTGATTGTCTTTAGAAGTCGTTTGATCCATTATTCTTTTCCTATCCTTCATCTCAACAAAGACATAAATGTTGGCAATCTGAACCAGAATTTAACTTAAGATCATTTGAAAAACCTTTGCAGTATCAATTCATTGATATGTACCATAATAATCCTTGACACTTTTTCCAACTTTTTCATCTAAGGCCCATCTCTTATTTTTCTGGTTTTTTTTTGTCTCCCTGTTTACTTCATTGTAAAAAAAAAATAAAAAAATAAGACACTTTTAAGACCAATGGGTGCAACCTGAAAAGGGTCAGAATCTGACTGACTGAAATGTTAAAACAAAGATGAAAAATAAAATAAGCTTGAAATGTGTGGAATAATTAAAATATATCAGAATTTCAGGCTTGAAATTTATTATAATGTATGTTATTTTTCTTTGTTCTTTCTTGATTCTGGTTTAACATTTAATGCTTTTGTGTTTTTCTGCTATTAATGATTAAAATTTAGATAACATTGCTGTTCTATAAAATTTGATTTGTAGAATCCTAAGTACACTTGCTTATTGACACCGACCTCAATTAAGAAACCTACAGAAATATAAAACTGAATTTTAATTTTTTTAGTAAAAATCTATTACACTTGAATAACACTAGTTCCAATTTGTTCACACACAAGTAATTGTCACCAGTTACATTTTGCAGTAACTCAAGTAATTCTAAGTTCATGCTTTTATACACTTTTGATTGTTAAGGAAGTAGGATGTTATGCTTTTTTTTATACAGACATATTAAGTCATTCTGTAAGAATACTTGAGTCCAAATTATTCATAAAATGCTTGGATCTTAAACCTAAGAATACTTAGAGGTTTTATGATTCAATATTTTTATAGAATAATTAGAAAATGATTTTCTAACAGCCCCCTCCCCCCTGCAAAAAAACAAAAAAAAACTTTTTTTTTCTTAATGCCTTGGTATTTAATGAATGAATGAATGAATGAAGTGGTGTTAGTATAAATTATATCCTATTGTCCTTTTTCATATAATCATGACCTTAAAATTCTGTATTAGGTGTTTTTTAATTTTGCAAATAATCTGATTTACAGTTTTTTTTTTCTTTTTTAAATACATCATGTTTTCTAAAATATCTTTATGAAGTGTCTGTATTTTTTTCTTTGAAATCGACAAAAGTTTTGCTAGTGTTAGGGAAGTTAAGGATATTAAGATCAAAATCACACTTTGTCTTAAATTTGCCAGAGAATGTAAGAGACTAGCTGCAAGGACTTGCTAGAATCTGGACAATTTCTTAAATGAAAGAAACAATTTTTTTGTCATTTCATGTTTCAATTTGAATTTAGGATTTTGAACTTTTTCAAAAAGTTTATTCAAGATTTGTAGGAGCATCACATTTCATATATGGTTAGCTAGAAAAGCAGCGACCTGAAAGTGTTGCAAATTGGCCAAGTTTATCTACTGGGCCTAAGATTAAACCTGAAGCCATTGTGGCTGGGAGAGGGGCATCGGCAACTCAATTTGTTCCCATCATTATTTCAAAACTTTAATTGTTTGTTTATTTTTTCTTTGTTTGTAGCCCCAGGCATGAGTACCCCGAATGCTATGAACAACCAACCAGGCTATGGGCCCCCGATGTCTCAGCAGCAGCCGCAGGGTCCCCCTCCCCAGGGCCCCCCAGCGCCCCAAGGCTACCCTGTCCAGCAGCCCCCTATGATGTCCCAGCCATCACAGGCTCCTCCGGGCATGTCCCAGGGACAACAGATGCCACCCCAGCAGTCCATGATGCAGCAGAGCCAAGCAAGCAGTGCAAACATGATGGGGGGACCCTCAGGCGGACCTCCACCATCAAGCCAACCCATGGGATCCCGGGCCATGCCTCCACCCAATGCCTATAGGAGATCGCCGTCTCAGGGTAGGCTCAATATGCAAGGTGAAAAGTTTTTTTTCAGGAAGTGATTACTTTTTTTTTTTTTTTAATTAATTTTTTTTTCTTTCTGATGTCCTTGTTTTCCCTACGTCTTGATGTCACTGACTTCATTGTTCTGCTGCTTTGGTATTCCTCAACATCAACTTCTTATGGTAGGTGAAAAAGTCTTTCTATGCAAAGTTGCCCCCTGAGTAGAGTTGGTCCCACTCTGACCAGCACTGACAAAACTTCTTTTCGATGAAAATACAAGCTATCTTTCTCCTAATAACTGCATACAGATCACTTGACTTATATGTCCACTTGCTAATCCAGGTGAACAGAGATTGGCTATTTTTACTAGGATTTTCTTCTGGATACATTGAACGAACTGTTGATGAAAAATCTGTCTCTTGACCTTTTATGGTAGACAGAACCTATATTTTCTTCTGGCTCTCTGCAAATTTTCAACTCTGCAGACATTTGTGGAAACAAGCCAGACTATTGAAGCCTTCACACTGTTCTCACTTGACAGATGTATCAACCATAATTAGTGAATGGTTCTTCTGCTTCCTGGTCTCTTTTTACTTTAAAAGAAAATCTAACTTTTTTTTTTTTTTTTTTTTTTCTTGGTATTTCAGGTCAACAGTATAGCCAGCAACAGTCATACAACCAGCAACAGTATGGCTCCCAACCTCCATACACTCAGAGTCAAGGCCAAGGCCAAGGCCAGCAATCCTATTCACAGCAGCCTGGGTACAGCCAAGCCCCAGGACCAGGACCTGGACCTAATATGCCACCCCAGACACAGTACAGCAACTATCCTACTGGTGGACAGTCACAGAACAGATATAATCCTTACAACAGACCAGCCCCCACGGGCCCGCCTGGAATGCCACCATCTGGACCACCACCTGGAGGTATGGGACCTGGCGGTCCTCCAGGAGGTCAGATGAATCCTGGAAATAATCAGATGGGAGGTCAAATGCCTCCTGCTGGTTCAATGCAACAACCTCCAAATATGGGGAGTGCAGGTGGTGGAGGCAGTGGAAGTGGAGGACAACCCCATATGCCAAGTGGACAGATGCCAGGCCAAGGACAGCCAGGTTATTCCTATAACCAGAACCAATATTAATGAAACTTTTTAAAGGTTTTTTTCTCTTATTTGGATTTTCTTGAAAATTGAAGACCCCCTCCTCTCTATATAAAAAAAAAAAAAAAAAACTGCCATTTTGGAACTTTTACAACACTGAGAAGGATTGTTTAAATGGTCCTGTAAAAATCTCAGAGTTGAGCTTTTTCAAATATTTTTGTATTTCCCTTGTTCCTTCCTCCAACCAGTCAGTTGGATAATAAACTGGTCATGTGATGACTTGGACCTCCCCCTCTTGCAAGGGGTGAGTAGAGGGTGGCCTGGGTATTATTTGGTGAAGTTGACTCAACCTTGTCATTCTGCAACATGAGACTAAACTGTTTCTAGACATGATCTTGAACAGTGTTGTTGAAAGTAATAAAGAAATTTTCATTATCACATTATTTCCCTCCTCTGCTGCCATCGGTTAAAATGTATCCCCATCTACAGATTTTCTTTGATGCACACGTCAATTCTTCGTTTTATTGAATTTAAATTGAGGACAAAATTGTTGATTTTAAAAAAAGGAAAAATTAATTTTTACTGTTTAACCTGCAATTCATATTCAATGTTTGGATTTTTTTACAGTATTAGATAAATTTTATTTATTTTTTAAAACCATTATTTTTTTTCATATAGCAGAAATATATCTGGGACGGGATAATTTCCTTTTCAATCAAAGATTATTTGTACCTTCATCTCCTTCAATCAAATTGACATTTCTTGTTAGCCATCTCTACCATTCACATTTCAATTTGTAATTATTAACATGGAAACAAGTGACAAAACATGGAAACTCTTTACCAAGAGGATTATAATTTATTATGTCAAAAGGTTCCAGGCCCCACATTTCTTCCAGTAATTTGTGCTTCCTTTTTTTATGGCCTGAATTTTTCTCTGCTTGTTCAACTCAAGCAGTGGGTGAATAAAGTGGGGTGCAGCAAGTCTAATAGTCAAATTCTGTGAAATGTTCTGTCATTCCTACTTAATATCTGTAATATTTTTCTTTTTCTTGGTGCTGGACCAGATTCTTTTTGGTCTTTTGCTGGTACAAAACTGTTAAATTTGCTTTGGTGGCTGATAAAGACCAAACTTCTTCCATTGCTTCCCACCCCTTCTTAAACACTTTTAGCTTTGGAATCCGTCTCAAATATTTTAAATTGAAAACTTGGCATTTCTGGACATGCAATATTATTTAAGTTTTTTTTTTTTTAGTTTGTCAGTTTTCTGATAAAAATTCCAGCCACATGGTGTTGTCAATATTTTAGCAACATAATTGTTCATCTATTAGTTAAATATCTGTTCTTCTGACAGATGTGGCACTTGCTAGTATATTGCTGTAAAGACCTAACAAATTTTAACTATATATTTAATAAGAGCAAATAAAATATTTTCATCATCAAACCAACTCTACAACAATCTTTTTTTGTTTTTTTAAATCCATTGTACTTGTGTATTTGTTATCCAAGCTCCATATATTTATGAAGATTAGATTGTAAGGTAGAAATTGACAAATCCGGATAAACCAACTTGTCTGAACAAATACCATGTATTTATGTTGATATTTTTTCTGCTCCAACCTTGGAAGAACTTTCAATACATTTTTACAATGTCTATTTTTCAAAATACTTTTAGTGGCCATTCATTTTTTTTCCAGACCTATACCAATTCAGTTAAATCAAAAACTTGAAAATACTTAAACCATACTGATTGCCTTCACTTAGAAAAGCAGTCTTTCTCATATTCAGAGTCTTTCCAAACAATTTTTACTTTAGATTTCAGCTTCCATTTAGTAAAGTTTCTTTATCACCAATTTTACTTACATTAAACCTTTCACAAAACATGCCCAGTATTTGGCAACTATTGCAACAAAATGAATTGTTTGCAAATCAGATCTACAAGCTTATTACAATTTAAGGAATTTTAAATCGTTTCTGTATAAAACACGCCCCCCTCCCTATTTTTTTTTTTTATATAATTAGTGATGTTAATGATATCATTAAAAATGTTTTAAAAATTAACAATAGTGATATACATAAAATAGGTACCTCCCTTATGAAATTGTATCTTTAATGAGTACTGCCACTTTTACTTAAAAAGAAGTTTATGGTAAAAATAAATTGAAAAATTCTAGCAAAATCAAAGTTTTGGACCTAAGTGGATTAAAAAAAAAAAAAAAATAAATATGACCCCCCCCCTCCATGAAATATAAGGCTGTTTTAAATCAAAAGCAGGATTTTTCTCATTGTTTTAACAGATAAAGTCTCTGTAGAACAAACTGTCAGTACCAGTTACGTGATTGACAAATAAGTAGGTGATTACCACTACAAAAAAAATCCATTAATTTTTTTTTTTTTTTTTTTGCAAATTAGATTTATACCTTAAATCAGCTAATCCTCAAATAGTTTCAGAAAAGGGTTTTATCTTTTGAAGAGGTCTTCATGAAAATTATACTGTAATGACCAAAAATGGGCACTCAGCTATTTTCCCCTCTCCTCATGGCTTAGAATTTAGAGAACATTAATTTTCATCAAAATCTATTTTGAAGAGGGCAATATAAACAAGGCAGGGATTTACCTACAAACTAACAATTCTATTAGAGATAAACAGACCTTTTCTTGGTATAGAAAAGGTTGTCTTAGGAAGAAGGTTGGTGGTTAACCATTCTTTTTATTCATGTGGATATTCCAATCAGGAATAAAATACAAGAGTAAAGAATTTTTTTGGAAAATGTAAATTATAAATTTAGACTAATATGAAAAACAAAGAAACTTCTATTGCTTCTGCTACCAGATGCCATTATATAGAGTAAAGAAATCAGAAATAACACAGAAATAACAAAGAGTTAAATCATTTTCAAATTTGTATTTAAGCAAAAGAAAAAAATACAAGTCTACATTTTAGCAGATTGGTACTTGTCCAGATTTCCTTGGTTGATATTCCACTTGACTGGTTGCGGTTGTCATAATCCTTGTTGCCTTTCTTCAATCATAAGTCATCAATACTTACCTGTCCATCATTGGCAGGGGACGGGGGACAAAAAATAAAGAAAAACCCATAACAGGTGTGGGGGTATGGGGATAAACATTGCTGGTAGTCTCATGCTATTGGAAGTTTGGGATATTTGAGCATGGGGGTGGGATGGGGGTGACTTGGGGAATCCAATACTTGATTTTAATTTGTACAAAAATAAAACCCATGAAGAGTTACCCCCCAGCCTACCAGCAGTGTATCAAGAATTGCAATTGGTTGCAATTACCCAAGTGGGTGGGAGTGGAGGTGGGGGCTGAGGGCATCAGACACCAGGATTGGGTAAGTTAGTTACATCGCCCCTCCCCTCACCAATATGACATGCTTCCAACCCTCCCACCCCCCCGGGCTGAAAATGAAACCAAAAACTTACATGACCAGAAAAGCAGACAGCATAAATACTGGAGAGTCAGCAAGTAGATCTCTGCTTCCTTGGAAAGACAAGGGAAACTGGTCTGCAGCAGCATTGCTCTTTTGTTTTTGCTCCTTCCAAAATAGATTTAGGTTGACAGCTTCAGTTTAAGGGTTTGTCTTAGTCTTTCTTTCTCTATCTCTCTTGAACGACTGATTATCTACATATCTAACCAGGATTAGTTGGGTGAGAGGGAGGTGAACCTTTTTCTTTTCCTTTTTCCTCTCTCGGAACCGCTCATCCCGCCACGCCTAGGAGACAGCTCAGCTACCATCGCCACAGGGTACAGCAATTCGGTATCTCTTGTTTTTGAAAACTCTTCAGCTACCCACGGAACGACCGGCACCGCACTCCTCTGCTACCCGCCTCGAGACCTATAGTTAGGCTTTTTTGGGGGGGATATTTTTTCCCCCAACAGCTGCCAGTTTATCCAGCTGGAGAGCAGATGTGGCAAATACAAAGTAGGAAAATTACTACACAAACGTGACATGCATTTTTATTAGAAGAGGAGACGACGAGACACCTAAACATGGCTGCTTTCTCATGGCTTTTTAATTACAACATTCATAAGACTAAATAAGACTTACAACATAGGCTATTATAAACAAGAGACACTCGAAGTCATTTATTCAGTTAAATTATTTAATTTATAGCGATTTAATTTAATTGTAGCCTACAAGAAGGAAAAAAAAAAAAAAAAAAAAAAAAACAAACAGCCAATTTTAATTTTAAAAAAAAAAAAAAGTATAGAGACGGAGTATTTATAAATAATCCTAGATTTAAGGGAAAAAAAAGAAATTCTGCAATACATACCGCTGGAAATAAGCAATGGTAGAACAGGAACAAAACTGCTGAACTATCATCAGTTGTGGACATTTGTTTTTGTTTTGTTTTTTTTTTGTTTTGTCTTTTTTTTCTTTCTTTTAATGATTTATTTGGTAGAGGAGGAGGCTCTGCTGAAGCAGCAGCAGCGGCAACAGCAGCAGCAGCAACCCGAGAGAGCAAAGGAGGGTGTGACCGACCCAGCAACAACAGCACACTGCCCTGCACCCGTGTGACCAGCTACACAGCAACCAACAGCACTGCAGCAAACCAGCATAAACCCCTGCAGCAGATATACCACACACCACCCATGAATATCTCAAGACTTTACAAGTTGGTGAACACATTTTTTCTTCTTTTTAAATTTAAACAATAATACTAATAAAATTACACACACAAATAGCAACAGAGTTAAATTCTTTTTAAAGAAAATTTATCTGGCAGCGGAGAATTAAAAGAATTTCCTTAAAAAAAAAAAAAAAAAAATTTGTAAAGATCCAATTATACATTAATAACCGAAAGTTAATTAGTAAAATAAAATCAGACTCGATTCGACAAATTTCATATTAGGAAAAGAAGATTTCTTCAAATATTCATTAAGAATATTTTCAGCAAACAACTTAAAAATTAAAAGCTAAAGAATTTACTTTAACATTTAATGTAAAAAGAAAAAAGAAAATAGAAGTTGGGGGGGACAAATGTATACTAGTTTTTTTTTTTTTTTTTGTTAGTTTGATAAAGGAAAAAAAAAAAAATGAAACTAAGAAACTTTTAAGGACGGGGATTAATAAACCTGGTACAAATGTAAATAGAAATATTTAAAATTGGGGGGGGTAAGGTGGGGAGATTTATGCCAATCTATAATATTATGTTCATAAATTGGCTATTGACCGACCAGTGGACAGAAGAAGGCAGTTGGCTAATAGATTTTTGATTTTGCTGGTCAAAATGTGAGCAGCACGAACAAAGAAAGCCCCTATCTTGAGAGGTGGGGGTCAAAGTTTTGAACCCTCATCTCCATCAGAAGATGAAAATAAGGAGGGAGGAGGGGGAGAGGGTGGAAGAAGAAAAAAAAAATGATTGCGGAAAATAAGTGAATTCTCTTGAGGCAAATTTGGTGAAAAGACGACAAGTTGAAATATTGATACCACCAATTTTTAGATTTTTCCAACTGCAGATGCAAAGAATTTGTTTTAAGTACACAGCACAATACGGCAATCAACAGGAACCTGGATCAAGCCTGGATCTGAGTTGACTCCGCCGCCCTACAAGACAAAAATAATCTTGTCATCTCATCTTTATAAAAAATCTTTCTTTTCAGCAACGACAGACGTACATTTATGTACAAGTTTTGTCTTTAGTTTTCTTTTCCATATTTTTCACAAGTCAAAGCATGAAAAGTTTTTTTTTTTTGCTTTTTGACTGTTTCTGCGGTTGGCATAAAAAAAAAAAAAAAAAAAAAAAAAAGCCACTTAACTTATTTTCTGCAGTGGATTGCCGTCTCGGAAGCCAGAAAAAAAAGTCAGGCCAAAAAAAAAAAAAAAAAAAAAAAGTGTTGAACTTGACCAATAAAAATAAAACACGAGAGAAAAAAATGCAGACAAAAGTATTTTTCTTTTCAATCACGTACATTTATCTTAAATCATATGACGAACACTTAAAGATGGGGGAGGGGGGTACCATTTGTTGTTAAGCATTAAAAACAAAATAAAAAAATAAGTGTAGAGGGAGGGGGAGAAGTTAATTACTTGATTGAATAAATGGTTGTTGTTGGCACGCGTTAAATTAGGCGGTTTCTAATACCAACCACAAGAGAATGAAAACACTCCCTTTTTAGCGGGAGGGTCGACAATATAACAAACATCAAATTCACAGACTGCACTGTTATTACTGAAGTTAATAGAAAGGCAAATGTGTATTTAAAGAATGAAGGTAAATAATAAAGCTTATTTGCACACTATTATTTACTGCGGTAAAAACGATAATTTTCATTTTGGACAATAAAGAAAAAAAATAGCAGTCTTAAATTTGAAAAGGGGGTGAAAAAATATGCGTAACACGAGGAAAAAGGGAAAGAGGAAAAAAAAAAAAAAAAAAAAAAACTGAGGAAAAAAAATCTTCCAGACGAACATTTTTTATATAAAATATGGCCATGGAAAGATCGAAATGAAAGTATGTTTGAAAGTCAATGCATTATTAGCAGAAAGTGGTAAGCCTTACATTTTAACAGCTACACCATGCACACACCACCATCATCATCGTGAGCAGCAGCAGCACTGGTCAGGCTGGGGGGGAGAAGGAAAGTATACAACGGAGCATGTGGTTAGCAGCATTTTTTTTTTTTTTTTTTTTTTTGGCAGCTACCGAGAAGAGAAGATAATAGTAGTAATAGTAGGAGTAGTGCTGATGGCAGTCACCTAGCTAAAATGTGAATCACGAGATTCACATTTTCATTACAATCCCAGTAGAAATAGCATAACCGATTATCCATAGCATCTCAAGAGATCTGTTAGCTGACTAAAAAGAAAAGTGTTTACATTTGGAAAACAAGACATTTAAGAGAGACTATTTTAACTAATTTTAGCGAAAATAATTCTTTTGCAAAGAGAAATACATTTACTACCAATACTGTTACTACTACGAATAATAATTCTCAGCATACCACCATTTTTCTTTTTTTTTTTTTGCTGCTTCTCTCAGTGAAGTAAATTTTTCTAATTCTCTCCATATCTCCGTTGTAAAAACCTCAGTCTTCCTCATCAATCTGCTGCTTATCTTTGTGGTTATTTGAGTTGGCATCTGGAGAGCCCTCGGGAGAGCAACTCCGGCTACGCGGCGACCTGCTCCGGCTGCGACTTCGGCTACGACTCCTGCTACGGCTGCGACTCCTGCTCCTACTACGGCTTCTGGATTTTGAAGAGTTTTCACGGGGGGGCCCTCCACTGGCGGTACTGGCTGCAGGAGCTAGGGTACCGCTGCCACTGCCGCCGGTGCTACCACCACCGCCCGCCGGACCACTGCTTCGTCCCTGGCTGCCTCCACGACCACCTTCACTGCTCCGGGCCGGACTACCAGGACTGCGACTCCGGGAGCGACTCTTCCTGTCGTCTCTACTTGGACTACGGCTTCTCGTACTTCGGCGACTACCACCACTGCTTCTCTTCTTGCTGCCACTTCCTTTACTCGGTGGGGTTGGGCTTCGACTATAGTGTTTACTGCGACTTGAGCGTGAATAAGATGGCGATCGGGACCGCGATCGGCTCTTGTAAGATCTAGATCGGGATCGGCTTCTCGATCTAGTGTAAGATCTTCGTCGTCGTCGAGACGATCTTGATCGTGAACGAGACCTAGACCTCGAGTATGACCTTCTTCTTGAGCGGTAGGAACTGTAGCCTCCGCCGCCGCCACCACCACCTCCGAATCTTCTAGGGGGTGGGCCTCGTCGGTAAGGGTCGGCTGGGCGCCCGTATCTTGCCATCTGTACGCGTAATTCCCGCCCGTCCATTACGGCACCATCCATAGCATCCATGGCGTCGTCGGCATCTCTCTTGTCGTGATATCGGACGAAGGCGAAACCACGACTTTCTCTAGTGAAACGATCGCGAGGGATGTAAACGTCTCCAACGTCACCATATTTTTCAAAAGCTCTGCGTAAATCCTCTGGTGTTGTCCTGTAAGTAAGATTGTCTACCTTTAAAGAAACCATGCCTTCCAAATCAAGTTCGGAAGGACCACGACGACCGTAGCTCATTGGTTTGAGCTTTTGCAATTGCAAGATGGCGGTTGTGAGGAAGGCTAGTTTTTTTTTTATCCTCCTCCTTTTGCGTGGGAAAATTTACAGTCTAGGTTTTTGAAGAAGAAAAAAAAAAAAAGTTCTTTTTGTAGTCGTTTTTCAACAACCGATAGGTTGTTAATATGAAATATCGCAGTCAATAAAACAAATCCGTAAGAAATAATTTGTGAACAATTCGCTACTTGTGGTAACGACCACAGCGTAATGTCTAACTGTGACGACAACTGAATTGGTGCTTTGTTTCCGGTTAGTCTCGTTCTGATAAGCTTAACCTTACGCGCTATTATGTTTAGCCAATCAGAGAGTAGGATTCGTGCCACGTGACTACTAAATATTTATTTGCTGTCCAAACGACTATTTCATCATATTTCCTACATTTTTTTTTTAATTTTTCTCCTTAAACTCCTACGCTTTCTTTTTTTCCTTATTTTGTCAATCCAATAAAAATACTTCATTACATTTTTCTATTCACTTCTAAGAGATTGAAAAAGAAACAAAATAGCATTTTTTGTTCATTTTATTTTTATAGTATTCTAAAATAAATCTTTTTAAAAAATCATAATGCCATGGAAGACGTGAAAAGAGTGAATATTTTGTAAATGATTGTTCCCTTAACTTTGTCTCTAAAACTTTCTTTTCTTACATTCAATGGGACGAGGATGAATCGGTTGTTCCTGAATTGCAGAATAAAACTTGGGCATCGTTTTATTCTTTCAATACACTGAAATGAATATGTCGACATCCATTATTTGAAAAGAAAGTCAAAATGATGCTTTCACACAAAAAATTTAAAGCACGTGTATATGCCGTATTTGAATAGCGGCTTTCTTTTTTATGCATAAAAAAATCATTTGGTAGGATAAATGAATAGAAAATTATTTTTAATCACGTTATTTAAAAAAATAATAATTTTCGTCAAGTAAAATAAGAGCAGACAAATAATGAATTCGAAAATTTTCTATTGTTTCGTCCATGCATATTTTTGAATGACAATTACCGTTAAAAAAGTTTTAAGTGGGAAATGTTTGACCAGATTACAAACATCTATTTACAAATTTTAAATCATTTTCTCTCTCTTCATCTTAATATTTTTTGTTCAAATAGCATCGTTTATAAAATATTAATAAAATAAAACAAAAAAATTAAGGTTAATTCTGAAGTTCAGAAAATTATTTAATTCTGCTTCTGCAGTTATAAATTATTTTTAAAAATCATTATCGATATTTATTTCTTGTGTGTTTAAGCCCCCCCCCCTACCAAAAAAAAACAGATGTAACAAATCCTTTTCAATTTTCATTAATGATTATTATTTTTTACTTTTTATTCATCAATTTTAATAAAGAAACCCTAAAAAGGTAAAAATCTGTTCACAAACATTTTTTTTACTTTTATTTTATTTTGAAAAAATGATATACGTTCTCAAACAATACATAGCCTAGTTTTTTTTTTAGCCTTTTTAGCCATTTTTGTGGTTATTCTAAAGAACTAAAACTTAAAAAAGCTATATTATTTGAATTTGAACGTTCACTTGTTTCTTCATATGGATTTCAATTCATTTATTAATGCTTCTCTTGCTGTTGTTCATCTAAAATATGTGCAATTTTGACAATAATTTATTTCACAAAAATTTTTACGAGATGGAAAGACTTGTTTAACAATGGAAATAATTGAGTTCTTTATTTCTGAAAATATTAATAACTTTGCTTACTAATAAAATAAAAAGTAAAAAACATTTTATAAATTTTTTTTTATTAACTTAGCTGAACAATTTAGCGTTTAAAAATATCGCATCAGGTAAGAAGATTACATTCATTCTGGATGGACACAATGAATATGGCCGTACTGATTAGCAAGTCAATAGCCAGAAAAAAGTAATATTTTAAAAATTTCAATTATTTTCACACCAAAACATATTTCATTTAAATGTTGACGTTGATGTTATAGCAACATTTAACTTCAAATAACTACAATATTTTATACTTTTCATTAAAAAATAAAAATATATTTTTTTTTATTCTGTGATTTTTCTCTCAGAATGACAAAAGAAAAGTATTTTTAGATGAATTTTCAATTTTCAGACAATTAGGCAAGAGCAAACAAAATAGATACCTTGAAACTTATCAATTTATAAATTAAATGTTATTTGTAAATACAAGTTCAAAGTTGAAGACCATCTTAGAAAAATCAGATAAAAATTATTTATCATCTCATGAGATCTATAGAATCTTTGTAGAATATTTATTTTACTAAGAATAAGAAAACCAAAATAATAAAAACGGCTATATTAAAACAGTTGAGTGAACTTTCAAGAAGAAAAAAATAGAAAAAATAAGATGGAAAATCTGACCAGCAAATACGAGTGTGTAGAATAAAAATTCTATCATACAAAGATTAATTATAAAAAATAATGCAAGTAGATTTTTCTAAGTAATGTTTTATAAAGGAATAAGTTGTTTGATATAAAAGCAATTCAAATATTATTAAAACAATAAAAGTATAACTTAAAGGTGTTTTGATATTCTGAAAGAAAATATATTTTTGTGATGTATGAGTAGTGCAACAGCAACTTAGAAAAAGAAATCAGCAAATTGTATTTAAATTCCAATTCTAATTTGAATGCAATTTGCTAACTTCTCTTCCTGAAACCCTCTCTAATTCCAGTTGCAGGTTAAATAATAGAGTAGACAGTTTCTCAGCATTGGTTGGCAAGTAGTCTAGGAAAAGGATAACTCTGAATTCAAAACCTGAAGAAAACTGTTTGGAGACTTTGTGACACACTGTACACCATTTCTCTGTTATCAATTCCACCAAAAAACATGTTGGTTTTACACAAACCTTCACCACTATAATCTAAAAATTATATGTATGGGTAGTTTGATAGTTCAATTCTAAGAACTAAATTGGTAAGCCGTCATATGACAAAATTGGCAGGAGAGTCCACCACCATTATATATTATTAGTTTTGATTAGGTCCTTCAGCTTTGTAGGAATTGTTACTACTTTTTATCTTTTTGAAGCCATTGTAGGAATTTAAAAAAAGGAGAAACTTTATGAAAATATGAATTGCTATACCATAGCGTCCCAAGTTTGTTACTCAGGAATATGTTAATCAATGTAAATCAAATATTTTCTTTATTCTAAATTACTACAGTTTAATGACAAAAAAATACAGTGACAAAACTATTATGATAAAACATAGAAATAATTGAAAATAATAATACAATATAAATATTAATTTTAACTAAAGGTTTCTTTAAAATATATTTTTAATATATCAATCACGTTATAATGAAATCATACCTGTTTAAAATTTGAAAATGAAATCAGTGAGAATGCTTCATTTGAAAATGATTTCCAAGCTGTTTCTATATCCCATTTGTCACAAGTAGGATTTATTAAACAAATAATGGTTTTATATTCACTCTAATGATTATATAAATGTCAGCCAAAAAGAAATGCCTGTTCTAACTTAATTTTAAAAGTATTAGAATTCCTAGGTTTTCTTTTTAAGCTATAAATCATTAAAAAAAAGTCCAGAAGCTCAGCAGGAACATTTACTGAGTTGCCTTCTTTTTTCCTTCTCATAATTCTATTTCAAAATGGCTGCCCATATAACACAAAGAGCTTTCATAGTATTTTTGTTTTTGGTAAGAAAAAGTACTGTAAAATTTGACTGTGTCAGTGAATGCTTATGGAAAGACTACACTTGATAAATAAGGAGATTGGTTAGTAGAGTTAATGGTAATTCTAGAGAGTAAAGAGAAACTGATCTTAGTGACAGGTCCTACAGTGGTAGTTCAGCTGCTGCTCAGAATGAAAATATGTAGGTTGATGCTCTTATTACAGCTGACAGAAAACCTACTATAACAAAACTGTGTGAAAATCTTCATGTGAGCCATGGTAATGCCTGTAGTTTAATGCATTCTCTTGGCTACTCAAAGCTTTACGCAAAGTGGGTTCCCTGAATTCTCACAATTTCTATCAAGAATGAAGTGGTTTCTGTCCAAGAGATTCTGGAGCTGCACAATATGAATAGTACTTTCCTAAGCAGAATAATCAGAGTGGACAGCAGTTCTTCAATAATAATAAACAGAAAGATACAACTCAAACATCACTAAGAAAGCAGCCAATAAGCTATCCTTATTCAATATAATTGAGCTGGAATGAGACTATGTTTGTAAACTAGATTTGGAAACCTTAGACCTGTATTTATTTTTGTATGCTTCTATTAATAAATGTGTTGTAATTAAAAATAAATGATCATTACAGTTTTATTAACTTTGTATATCTAGTGACACAGTAAATTCTGATCATAAAGATAAAAACTGTATTTGAACACCATACAAGGCAAGGTTTGCAGTTTTTATAATTCATAGTCACTGAATTTACTACTACTATAAAACGTTGTAGTATAGTCAAACTCTTGACGTAGCAAGGTTAGTAGATGCTCGTAGAAAACGAGAAAAATGCATACATGGCAGATTTAACTGCACCGTTGGTGATGAGGATGTTGCAATAAGGCTTTGGACAGACAGCAACAAAGTTTTGTGCTACAAACTTGGGACTAGAAATGCTTCAGTTTTCAGATTGGGGAGGGATTTTGGAATACAGGCTATTTAATTTGTATATAACATCTATAAAATAGGGCAGCTGGGGAATAGAACCCAAGCATAAACACAATATCATAACAATGCTTATACCCTGAAGGTAGTTTTATATAAGTAACATATTTTCTGAAAGTAGTTTTATATAAAATTTAATAAATTTTGTGTATATACAGATACAGGTAATGATGCTAGTCATGTAATGCTCACACTTATTTTTAAGTGGTGAAATTAAGATTTCATTTAAAAAATAAGATTTTGTACTTTCTGTACATGTACAAAAATCATGATCACTAATGTAATGAAAACTGAAAAAAAAAATCAGCATTTTATTCATAATGCTACAATGCAATA